AGAAAGAATTAAAAAAAATGAAGAATAAATTTTGTTTGGAACTGAGATTAAAGTTATATATAAGCTTACATTGACGGAACCAGATCTAAATGAATCCATTTCTCTCTACTCTTTAAAATGCAAATTACAAATCTTTTAAAGTAATTTTCATGAATTATTTACACCTGTACATCTCACTTTAAAGCTAAATGTTAAAAGCCAACGCTTTAACTTGTCCTAGTTTTACGTATGACCTTCATCTATCCTTTCCTTAAAGTGTCTCGAGGTTTGTAGGAAAATTTCAACGTATGCAGGGAGTCTGATAAGCCTGTTGCGCAATGAGATTTATCTATGCAGTCACGCGTCATCGAGTTCGCGACTCCGGCATAAAAGAGAACCAGGCTCTTTCACTTTTCGGTACGCAATCCTTTAGTTGAAATATCACCTATCTAAACCTACCTAGCTCATTTTCAAACATACATATACCTATCCATTCACCATAAGTATATTTATATACTTATATAAATTATTGTATCGATGTTTCGTACGATTAACACAAGATAAGATTCTGACGCATGCAATTTAGCGACGAATATATCGTTAACCTTGATCACATGTAAAAGATTAATAACAATCATCCTTGAATCTATGCTATCCTAAGCATCAAGGGCACTTTTATTCATTTCTTTTATTCATTTTTGATCAGCAGGATAAAAAAATCTGACAAACGGGTTGCGCCATGCATGTCTATAATGCGAATTTCTACGTCGCTCAGGGCGATCATCCTCATCAGACAGGCGTGACGTAACAAACAGAGGTCCTCTTCTCGGACTTCGCTCGTGCCAACCACTGCGTAGCTAACGGTCCGTTTCACCGAGAGACCGTTGGAGCAATTCGTGCCTCGCAGCAGAGATTTAGTTAGGGATACGTAACTCGCTCATTTAAGCGTACACTATTTCGCTACATGTGCTAGCCACTTCCAAGAAATCACCGGCGATACGAATGTTACGGAGAGGTATGACACCTGTACCGGAACCCGGATGAGTCTCTCTCACGGCGATACTCTCAAGTGCCTGCAAATATTATGCAAAGGCAAATACACGCCGCGATATACGTGCCATAACACGGCATGTTCAAATACACGCAAATACAATCGCCCGTGAGACGCCGCCGGTGTCGGTGATTCGATCACAGTCGTACAAATTTCGCCGAAAGCTGTGCGCTCGGCTGTACCGGTTCATCGACCGACATCACCATTATTATCGTCGTCATCATCATTATCCCCATTATCATCATATCATTGAAGTTAATATCCGCTGCAATTCTAGACACGCTATTTCGACGGATTTAGTTATCCCTTTTTTTTGCTGAAACATGTATTTCTAAGAGAATTTGTAACTTGGCTGCATTTACGTATTATGTTTTTTTTTCACACACAGAAGTTCAATATTGCGGTCTGGGATAATGATTATTACAATCAGTGTATGTTTAATAAAAATCTATATATCTACTTGTAATACCCTTCCACTTAAAATTATTACAACGTACATTATATATTTATTCAATTAATATATATAAATTTCCTATATTCGATGCACAATCTATATAACACAATCTATATAAACTTGACAAAATTTAAACTTAATTCTTCCGTTTTAAAGCGATTTCGACTATCGATCGATGATTTCCTACACGGGCCTCGATTGCGAATGACGACAATGCCTTTCCACTGTGTGCGATCACGCGAGATGTCCTGCAAACCGTTATGTCCTTATAAACGTATTCTCTGCCGCATTCTCTGGGCGCGATTACCGCGATTATTACCGGACCGCGTATTTTTTCCGCCCGTGGACTGCACATATATACATGCGAAAGAAGGTAGTGGACGACGACGACGACACGATTACTCTGTTGAGTAACGACCGCGCGTGTTCTTGCGCGATTGTCCGCCGTGCGAGCGTACGCGATTGCGCTCATCTGTCCGCGTAACGCAATTACTTCGCGTTACTCGAGTGTGCTTTCACTCGCGATAATTGGCAAATGACGGGGCAACGCGTGCGCGTGACAATGCTGAAAACGAGGCGACCGGAACGAGCTGCCGACGAGCCTTCGCAAATCTGCGCCTCAACTTGTCGAGTTGTATTGAAGCGAATAATGTGAATTATTTTAATGCGCGCTCGTTGGATACACGTGGAAACTTGAAGCGTCTCAAGGTTAAATTTCTTCAAGTAATTTAGAATAATAATTTCTTCGTAACTTATCTTCTTTCTAGAAATTTTTAATTACTAATAATAATTACTTATAATGATACATTATAGTTATGATAATTATTAATAATAAAAGAAATATCAATTAAGGATACGAAACACAGGCAAGACAAGTATACTAGAAAATTATTTTTATCGTAGAAAAAGATCCTAAATAAAATTAATAAGTTTAAAAATAACTACCTGTTTTAAAAATATAAAATTATTATTTATAAAAATATAAAGTTAATGCAAAGATTATATCATGAGATGGCTTTCTATATTTTTTCCAAGTAAACAGTACATTGGTTCCATTTTTTTCTATGCTTTAATTTGTTTGTAATTATTCCTTTTTGTGTCAAGTTTTCAACTCTCTATTAATACAATATATCGATAATACAATATATATCGATAATATTAGACTTAGAATTATCGCGGATCTTAAGAAGACGACGCAGCTTCGACGATATTCTGGAGAACTCTCGATCTACGGAATGCGGAACCAAGAGAACGAAATTATTGAGAGCATGCTCAAACCCTGTAGCCAAAAGAGAACACCGTCTAGGACGTACCCCAGCAAATTGCGACTCATAACAACGCGTGGGCGTATGTGCGACGCAGCGCTCGTGTTCTCGGAAGAGATAGCGACTCAGAGAAAAAGAGAGAAAAAGAAGGAGAGAAAGAGAGAGATCACTCGCTCTAGCTCGCGCAAGGCTAGCAGTGATGCGGGATCAGGAGAGGCTGGCACGTTAAAAGCGAAACGGAGAACGGACGAGAAGCAGCGGTCGCAGAGGAAGAAGAAGACGACGCAGAAGAAGAAGAAGATGAGGAAGGGAGTCTTTCACGTACGAGATTCTCCTGCTCGAGAGAGCCGAGACTCGAAGAAACGGCGCCCCGCTGAGAAGCGCCTGGATGCCAACCTCCACCCCGCGGCTCTAACGAAGGAATGGGTTAGTTCTCCTCTTTTCCTTCCTTCTTCATCTCGTCGCTTCTCCATCCGTCGTCGTTTCGGTCCTATCCTTTTCCGCTCTCACCTTACTTCGCGAGAGAGACCACATGAGAGATCCAGACGGGAGAGTCCGTCCGTTGTCCTCTCGTCCCCTCCAGAGGGATCGACGAAAGTCCCATTTAATGCTCCGGACAGCGGCGCCGCACTTCCGTGATATCGATGCATCAGCGATGAGGCTAGAAAGGGATAGAAAGAGAGGGAAATGGCGTACAATGATGCGAAGTTGACACGCGAAACCGGAGATAAACATGTTCCGAGCATGCGGGTGAGCTTGTCCAGATCGTCCGATACTGCTACGAGTGATTCATCGGCAGAGACTTGCGACTCCTTTTTCTTTTCGTCTCCTTCGCCGACATCTCGGCCCTTCTCCAAATCGTTCTCATATCGCGCATGCATTTGCAGAATCATGGATGAACATTTGCAAGAATGGAAAAGCGACAATAATCGGCAAATGAAAAAAAATTAACAAAATAAAAAAAATTATTAACGCACTTACATAAAAAAGATGATAAGATAGATTTTTTCATTTATAACAGTTGATCAAATGAATAATCTTTGTGAACGATATTTTTAATCAATACAAAATATATTTTTATCCGATTTTTAATTATTTTAACACAGAGTGATGAATAAAATTATTTACAAGTCTGTATTTAGCTACATTTTTAGACACTTCAACAAAATTGTTCTTTCTGTGTATATAATTTATGTTTATCTATAATATACAATTCATTATAAATATATATATATATATATATACATACATGCATTAATATTTTGTTTTACGTACGCATTTTCACTCGCAGACATATACATTCCATTAATTTTATGTTACCAATATCTAACATTCTTATCGTCTGGAAATCAACGGACTGTAATGCTTTAACATCGCTCTAAACGCGCGGAAACGACGTTATTCTACAAGGAGAAAACCGGACAGATAGGAATAGACGCGTATCGACCTGGCTAGGTTTCGCGAGCGAAATCAGGACGCCCGTGGTCCTGCCGAGGGACGATCCGCGCGAGAGA